CAATAATCCTACTTCTACGAGTAGAATTTACACAATGGAAAATTTGAATGGCATATCTTTAGCCTGCGCTCGCTCTTGATTTCATACATCACCAGGATGTATCCGACACCCCAAACTACATCATCGCCTTCGAAGACTTCCAAGCCTAGCACTTTTATCACAGTCAACCACAACTAACAGTGTCTTGGGGAATTCGCATCGTTTTCGCTCCAAGTTGGATCATCCTGCAACATTGCTATCGAATTCAACGCTTCTGATCGAACCTCCGCGTTCTGAACAAATTACATTAGTGCAGCAAAAACGATGCATTTATGGAATGAAATGTATTCAACCGACGTTTGCTAAGGGTCGAAACAAAAGTACATAATTCTCGAACCTGAATTCTCTGCTTCTCATAAACAGCAGTGAACGGAGGGATCCAGGTTACTGATTTATCAGCATTGTTACTATCAAGACCTACAAAAAAAGGCATAATAAAGCCACAGACGAGCGAAAACTCACAACGTCCAGGCGTCGTGTGGATATTATTCCAAACAGCAAATCACGCTGTTCCTTGGAAAGAGGAGCACAGTCTGGCATATTCGGATTCCGCTCCCGAAACCGACTAATAACAAGTTTGTTGATGTTAAGGAGCATACCAACTAGTGCGCATGCATAGCAGCGTACAAATGCCAGTTCGAAAACGTTCATCTGAAACGAATCAATCACAGAATGAAAAGCAATGAATAATTTCCACCCTTACCAATGAATTCACATCTCCCACTCAAAAAAAAAAAATAATTGGCCAAAGCACAGGCTGTCCGTGCGAAGATGCGTTTTTTGCATAGTTCTCCGCAGTTTCTGTCACTACCGGCACCGGTTTTTTTGGCAAATAGTTCTAGCTAAACAAATTAAGACTGGCCGCCAGAACTGTCACGAAACAACCCTTAAAATTTCAGTTTTCTAGCTTTTCTGGCTCCTGAGTTAGTAACTTACTGGGAAAAACTTTCACGGGCCCGTACGTGAGTACCACACATACCCGATGTCTGGGTTTGAGCTTGTTGAAACTTACGTGGACGGGGAAAATCCTACAGTTTACTAGCTTTTCAGGTTATCGAGTTAGCAACTTACCCGAAAAAACTTTGGCGGGCCCGCACGTAGGTACCACGGGTACCCGGGGACTGGTCTGAAGCTTATCAAAACTAACGTGGACAGGGGACGTCCCGTAAAATTTCAGCATTCTACTCCTCAAATCCCCGAGTTATGAACTCACCCGAAAAAAATTTTGGCGGGCTCGTACGCAGGTACCACGCTTACCTGGGGGTTGGGTTTGAGCTCACTAATACCTATTTGGACGGGGGACATCACTCTAAGATTTCAGCATTCTAGCTTCTCAGATCCCCGAGTTTTCAACTTACCCGTAAAAAACTTTGGCGGGCCCATACGCGGGTAATGGCGCCCATTTTGCGCATTGGGGCCCGTACGTGCATGTAGACTACCCAAAGTTTCAGCCCTGTAGCTTTTGTATGTCTTGAGATGAAAAACCGTGACAGGCGCACAAACAGACAACCACTCGTCAATATGCTTTTTCTGCATTGCATAGCTACAAAAAACGAATAAAAATTCAA